CTTCTGTGTTACATACACTGACAACCCTATGAATTTTAGATTGCTGGGGACAGAAATGTTCTGTATCAATTAATTCTCTGTCCCTGCAAAACTCATATCAAGAAAACCTCTTTGGGGAGAAAATTCCCAAATCAGGAAGCCATTTCTATCTTTCTGCCCAACTCATTTTAGTTGCAGTGGGACTTGGAAAAAGATCTCTGAGGTTGAACTTAAACATTTGACTGGCTTATCTAAAAGAAGTTAGCCCTTAACACGTCTGGATTCTATGCCATGTAGGGCTTTCTGAACTTGAAGAAGCAACTGGAAGATGCATTTTATTTTGGCATAGCTGCAAAGCTGCAGCTTATGTACTAGAGATGATGTCCTTATGTACTATATATTTATTAGAAAATTTTTAATTGATCAAGTAATTTCTTCTGAGGAGTTGTATCCAATCCATGAATTCTAAAACCCATGAGAAAACTTATGTAAAAAGCTTTCTAAGACACAGGAACCTCTTGGGCTTAAAACCTTGACCTTCATACTACACAACTGTGCCTTTTGCGTTTTCATAATCATATTTCATGATTTCTATTTTCTTAATCAAAATAGTTTCTTCCTTATCTCGGAAAATATGATTGCTTGGAGATGACATGGCAACTTTGGATTTTGAATATTTATTTTAGTGGACATTAATTTAAGGAAAAAGTAGCAATATGCAAATGAAAAGGCTGTTTTGTAATATTTCAGTCCAACAGACATAAAGTGACAACGGCTTGTTATTTGTTCTTCTCAGTTGTAGATGCAATTCCCAAAAGGTAGAACTGGTATATGGGGCTGGATTAGATCCACTTTGGGAATCCATTTCCTGAAGAGAGATAAGATTTGGGTACAGAGCTACTTTCTGACATGACAAAAGAGCTGGCAAATTGAGCCTTCAGAAACTTTATCTAAATTTTCATGGATTTTTTTCTTGAAAAATGACTACAGCCTTCTGAGGCTGCTAGAGTAGATCTGAATTTAGATCCACATCCTGAAATATCTTAACCAAGTTTTTTTCTCTTTCATTTTAAGAGAATGTATGGAGAAGAGAGTAAAACAGTGAAGTTTGAAGACCTTGCCTAGACGGTTCAGTACTGCTTAATACATGAGGGGAACATAATGTTGAGGCAATGCATGCTCATATAAACATTATCTAATTAATATAGGAAAAATGTTGCCAAATGGACTTGTTTAATGTCTCTGTTTAGTATAGTGGCCAACCAGATCCTTCTGTTAATCCTACAGGTGAAACTGAAGGATCCAGCTTTGCATTGCCAGTGAGAGAGCGAAGTGGGAGGGAGGGTGACACATTGGTGGAGGCATGGCCCTCAGGGATGACAAACTTTCAGCAGACGAGAAAAAGAATTTTGCCTTCATTCATGAGAGCCATTCTTTCTGATTAATAATTTTTATTAAGCTTTTTACAAAACAAAACATAAAAACCACATTCTACATCCATTCTTCCCATTCCTAAGACATCAGTATATCCCATTTTGTGTATTGTCGTACATACTTTCCATTCATTTTACACTTGCAATTTCCTCTTTACATTTATAATTCTTATCACCTAATATTACATTTATGTATATATTCTACTTTCATTTGTTATTCCTGTTCTGTAACCAATAATACCATTTATCCCATACTGTATAGTATTCTTTATCTTCTTTATCTTGTAATTTAAAAGTTGATTTGACCATTTCCATGCAGTCCATTATTTTTTTTATTATGTTTTCGGAAGGTATGCTATCTTAATTTCCAATTTTGAGCATATGTTATTCTTGCTGCTGTCAATATATGAATTATGATATTATGGATTTCCTTTGCAAACGCTCCTCTAATTATCCCTAACAAAAACATATCCAGAGGCCTGTTATTTCTTGCAACCAGGTTCTTATTTTACTCCAATATTTCCTCGCTTCCGGACAAGTCCACCACATGGGGAAGTATGAACCGTGTTCATGTTTACATTTCCAGCATCTGGGGCTCAAAGAATGAGAGCCATTCTTGCATATTTTTGAAGGTGGAATGCACTTCTGTCACTTTGGAAGAGAAGAAGGAAGGCAACTGTCCATACAGCTAAACCCTATAATGCAAAGGGTGCCATTGAATTCTGCACAATGATTGCTTTTTGCACATTTTATGCCACATTAATCCTGTTATTCCCTGTATAGGTAGCTATAGCAGTTCACTTTGTGACCTTATGAAGTTACAACAGCACTGAAAGAAGTGATTTATGACTGTTTTTCACACAACCATTGCAGCATCTCCATGGTAATGATCAAAATTCAGATGCTTGGCAACTGGCTCATATTTATGACATTTGTCGTGTCGCAGAGTCATGTGATCCCCTTTTTGATCTTTGGACAGGCAAAGTCAATGGGGAAGCCAGATTCATTTGACAACCTTGTTACTGACTTAAGAACTGCAGTGATTCGCTTAACAACTGTGGCAAGAAAAGTCATAAAATGAGGCAAAACTCATTTAATAAATGTCTCCTTAGCAACAGAAATTATGGGCTCAGTTGTAGTTGTAAGTTGAGGACTACCTGTATATCTTTTGTGACTATTAATGACCAGAATGTTGAAATTGGCTCATACCTGAGGCATGTGGATATCATTGAATATGTGTACTCCATGTGGTAAAGCCTCCAACTGAAAGTTCTTCACAAAGACAAACCTCAGAAAAATGCAGAATTTTAGCACATGGTGCAGAAATAATTCCACATGAGATCTTCTAGGGGCTATCTTGAAGATTTGCAATAACTGACTATGCGTATGGCCAAGGCTATTACTTTTATCACCTTTTCTCCCTCCCTCTGGCACCAAAATATCCATCCATCATCACAGTATATATCGGGCTGAGGAAGCTTACCTTTTCCCATCCTATATGCTAAAGAACATTCTTCTCTCACATTCATCAACAAGCATGTAAGCAGAGAAAGGGAAAAGATATTAAGATGATCAAATCTCCTACCTGCCCCATAAGCAAGCAGTTGGAGAGCTGAATGTACTGTGCAGTAATTCTAATGGAAAATGGGATGCTCGTGCTGCTTGTTGCATTTTCAAGTGAATCATGTGCAAACAGAGTAGCAGCAGCTTTGAAACCTGTAGTAAGTTGCACTCCTCCAAGAAACCACATATGGGCAGTAGGTTGCCCCCATACAATCACTACTGGGTGTGTAATGAATTCACAATACTTGGCATATCTTTTCTTTGTTTGATTTTTTGCCAGCTTAATTCTCATAAGAAAGTAAGTGTTTCTGAAGGCCATACATTTTTCTGTTTCTTCCCAGCTCTGTATTCATGCCCAAAATGGTAGGAAATGCCAATATGTTGGAAATTGCTCCTTTGCCCATAGCCCTGAAGAGAGAGAGATGTGGACCTTCATGAAAGAAAATAAGAGTGAGTGGAATATTTAAATATGTATCTTTATATATGTTCGGGAGCTGCAGATTTATTTATTTATTTGCTTGCCTGCCTGCCTTCTGGTTTCTCCCCATCTCCATCTTCAAGTACTCATTGACAATAATAAATGATCAGTGTCAATATAACTGGTTTCCACTAAAATATAGTGTGCAAGCTGACAAAGTTTAACCAAGATTTAACCTTATATGAATATTAGGTCAATAGGAAGTCATTATAATCTGAAACTGGGATGTTTTGGAATGAATATGCAGATTCTGGTTTCCTGAATTCATGATTATCACCAGAATAAATACCCCCTTGAAAATGTCCAGGTACTACAATAAAAATTAGCTTCCACTGATATTAAAGAAAGGTATTTGAACTTCATTACAGCAGGGAGGATTAGGATTAGGATTTATTTCATTTATATGCTGCCCTCAGGGTGGCTCACAATTCGGTCAGGGAAGGGGGTACAGACAGGGGATAAAAAGACGAACATAAATACACAATTTAAAACCACACAACAACATACCATTCGAGGAGGGGGGCAAAAGCTCTTTAGCCCCCGGCCTGTCGGAACAGCCAGGTTTTAAGGGCTTTGCGGAAGGCCTGGAGGGTGGTGAGGGTTCGAATCTCCACAGGGACCTTGTTCCAGAGGGTCGGAGCAGCCACAGAGAAGGCTCTCCTCCGGGTAGTCGCCAGTCGGCATTGGCCGGCGGATGGAATTTGGAGGAGGCCTAATCTGTGAGATCTGATCGGTCTATTGGAAGCAATTGGCAGAAGGCGGTCTCTCAAGTACCCAGGTCCAATACCATGAAGGGCTTTATAAGGGAGGAAGTTGGCAAGGTAAAGAAGAGGAAAGTTAGCTCTGCCTTTTCAATAGTGGCTGCCTTTGAAAACGTCCCAGGATGTGGGGATTAGGCCAGGTCCAGGACATAAAAAGAGGTTTGGTTGAGGCAGGATCTGGGCTGAATTGTGCAACCGCTTCGAAGCAGCAGGTCTCAATATTCACAAGGAGCTGCATTCCTTCTACTTCATTTGATAAAATACGTTAGACTGGCACCTATTCTGTATGCAAGTCTTTAGATGCTATAGCTGAATGACAGCACATCTTCCTTGCATGGAAAAGATCCAAGGTTCAGTCTCTGGAATCCTGAAGCAGGGCTGAGGAAGACTGTCCGACATCTGAAGAGACATCTGTGTGAAATTGATTAAGATTCTGACTTGGTAATAAAAAGCTTTTGATGTTGGCAGCCAGACATTCCTGTTTAGAAATATTGTCTTGGTAGGGTGCAAAAGTGTCTTTAGCTAATCCAGCTAATTGTATTGTTGCAGTTTTGGATATGCAGCAGACTTACGACATGTGGCTGAAAAAGCACAACTCTGGAAAGCCTGAAGAGGGAACACTTCTAACATCACGAGAAGGAGAAAAGCAGATCCAGATGCCCACTGACTATGCTGACATGGTAGTGTCCTATTCTAGATAATGTTGTGATACTTATTTTTATTTTGCACCTAAATATTTTTAAGATAAGAGTGCTACAAAAAGGAAACCCATGTCAGCACCTTGCATCTCGTATAGATCTTCAGTGCAGCATTTTACATGCTCAGCTGCTGCTGGTTTTACCCTAATTTTGCAAAATAAGATGGCACATGACAAGGGTCATCCCCAAGAACTGTTCTCATTATCTCTAAAGCCCACACACAGCTACATGATGAGGTGATGAAGTGGTTGTCAGCTCATCCACTTATGAAAGCAATGTGAAGAAAAGAATCCTGCCTACCTTTTATACTCTTGCTTTAAATCCTGGTTCTTCTCCATGTGTTCTGCTGGAGATAGTGATGCTCTGATCTTGTTACACAGGGAAGGAAGTTTAGACTGTCACGTTATACATTGTCATAGATAGAATGATTGTGTACCCTGGAATAGAAGGCTGATGGCACCTTAATAAATTACATGTTTTCCTAAGAAGCTCTGAAGATCTCAGAAACCAGTCAGTATATACATTTTGTTAACCCAAGATTTGTTCACCAGTAAGATACGGAGTTAGATATTTCTACATTTGTTGATTATATTTAAATATAAATCAAACTCGTAGGATTTTTTTGCAGAACAAATCTTCCTGTGAAACAAATGTTACCCTATTCCATTAATAAACACATCAATTGTAGTATAAAACTAGAAAATGTTTAGTAATTTATATTTTTGGTGATGCATCCAGCAGGTCTTGCTCATTCAAGTAACCAAGTGGAAACAAAAAAATATGTGCCACCTTTAACAGAATCATTATCTTGAGGCTCCTAAGTATTTTTCAATCCCTAGGAAACTGACTATTTTAGTGGTAGAATTTTTTTTGCTGATACTCAGTTAGTTCTGTTAACGTCAGTATGAATCCTCAAAAGAACAGTGGATTTAGCCATGGAAAAGTAGTTTTATTCATCAATAAAGGACTCTCCAGCCATTTTTAGAGCAGTTATCAGTGTAACCTAGTAAAGGCATAGGACTGTATTCTCTTGTTTTTCTGGTGGCTAGATGGGTTACCATTGCTGGCTTTGTGGGAAGAACAGCAACAGTAAGAAACAGTGGCAGCAGCACATCCAGTCTGAGAAGCATAAAGAGAAAGTCTTTACATCTGAAAATGACACCAGCTGTTGGAATTACCGTTTCCCAATGGGAGAGTTCCGGCTGTGTGAAAGGTACAACCCATAACATTTCCCCTTTTTTAGATCATGTACTATTGCAGAGTAGGGGGAATGTATTATTTGTTTTGCTTTCGTTTAACTACAGTTTAAAGCAGGGGTGTCAAACTTGCAGCCCGCAGGCCGGATTTGTCACCTGCTAGCCCCGTCCCCACCAAGTTTAGCGAAGGGGGGGAATGTCCCGATACATCAAGTGACGCCGAGAGTTTGACACCTCTGGTTTAAAGGTAATTATCTCTGCTAAGTCTGTGACTCACATTGAGAGATATTTCATGGCTCCAGATAAGTCTTTAAAATCAGTATTTCTCAACCTTGGCAATTTTAAGATATATGGATAGCAACTCCCAGTATTCCCCAGCAACTCCCAGAATTCCCCAGTATGCTGGCTAGAGAATTCTGGGAGTAGAAATCCATACAGGATTGTATGGTTGTATGCCAAGGTTGAGAAACATTAACTTAAATGCAGAACTTTTCTGGCAAAGATGGGCATAAATATGCATTCAGATATAATATAATAGGCTTCTCCAAAAAGGACAAAGCAGATTCCTGGTCCCAACAAAACCCCTTTTATTAAATGAATGTGAATTCCTCTCATTCATATCCAGCAAAGGCCGGGTAAACAGTCTTTCAAAGGCGACGTTATGACCACAGACCTTCTCTAGCTTGGAAAACTGCCATGTAAATATTTTCCAAACGCAGTGCTGTGCAAGGAAAGTCTTGGCACAGAGTCTTTGAGATTCACAGACTGATCTTCACACTCCTGAAACGAACGAACGAACGAACGAACAAATGAATTGTTTCCTGCAAAGGCCCACTCCCCTTTCACTCTCTTTTATTTCCTATGGGAGGGGCCATTCACCATCCACCTGTGGCTTTACTCCCAAGTCAACCCTGATTTCTCAGCTGTTCTTTTCTTCTGGCAGCTCTGTGCATGCGCACACTGGGAACAGTCTCCAGTTGTTCTTCTGCCTCACTTCTGTCTAGCTCTGAAGACAGCTGAGAACTGCCAGGCAACCTTGGCCCCACCTCCCACCTCCAATTCAGAGTCCTCGTCCGAGCCTTCCCCTGCCTCCAGGACTGGCCTACGTTCCTCCCCACCCCCTCCTCACTGTCCAACTCTGCTGCCAGTTCTGCTGGCTGCTGCCAGGCCACAACATATAATATGCTCATGTCCTTGTTTACCAACTAAAGAAATCGTGTGTTTTAAACAGATATTATATTCTTACGATTTGATATAGGAACTGTGTTTATTCCTGAGCTGATGATTTCAGAAGCTGAACAATCTTGCTCTGTAGAGTCTCCTACTATTGATCCTTTAGTTAATCTTCATGATTGATACACCAGCTTTCATGTGATTTATTTGAAGGTGACCACTTTGTCAGCAGAACATTTTGTTGACAGATCTAGATTCCCATGTGCTAGAATCTGGATTGTTGCTGAAAAAACTGTCCCTTTCATGCTGTGGGCCCTGTAGCTTTAGGGAAACATCGTTCTGTAATTTAAAATTAACTTTCTGAGTTCGAGAATTAAAAAATTCTAGAGAATTAAGAATTCTAGAGAATTAAAGAAGAGAGATTCCTATTTAAAAAGTTGACAGTTGTGTCCTCATCTCCTACAGGTTCCAGAAAACAAAAGGCTGTCCTGAAGGAGAGAAATGTCTCTTTGCTCATGGGCAAGATGAGTTGACAGAATGGCTTGATCGCAGGGAAGTAATGAAGCAGAAACTGGCTAAAGCTCGAAAGGATATGCTGTTGTGCCCTCGAGATGATGACTTTGGCAAATACAACTTTCTATTATGTGATAGTATATAATTCTGGGTGGTGGTGGAAACGAGCAGCCTTTTCAGAACTGGAGTAAGATGAAGCTTGGGCAGTTACAAAGAGCCTGAAAATTGTTCCAATACCATGGCTTTGATTGTAAGATAATCAAAATGATTCACTAATGTTGAATGGAATTAAGGATTGAATCATCAGTTGCCAGTGGACACAATGCTTCTATCATTTTGTTTTCAATTTTTTTTCAGTCAATTACCAGCTTCTTTTTCTCTTTTACTTTCATAAAAGAGAAGATGGTGGTTGTTGTTTTTTCCAACCAGATTCTTATTTTGAGCATTTGATTCTTGATGGGATATTGTGGTATTATAGAAGCACGCATAGAGCAAGAAGATACATCAAAAATGCAGGGTTTTATTCAAGTTAGGCACTTGTGTGCTGGGTCTTTATGCTCACAAACCAGTGTTGAAATTAACAATACAAAATGTTAAATATGAATAAGATATAAGCTTCCCCCACTTCAATCTGGTTCTAAAACATTCAGATTATTCTGGTGGTTGCTTTTAAATAATAGTAGTAAAGTATTTACTATTTAATACTACTAAGTGGTAATTAAATACTAGTAAAAAATACATTATGTCTTTTTCTCCTTATAGCCAGAATTCCATCACAGATGAAAGCAAATAATTTTAATCCTGTCACATGGCATTAGAAAAGCCATTGGCTTTTTTTAGAAGCAATTAGTTTTTTCATATTAAAGATTATTGAAAATACACTAGATAATTGATGACTGATTTAGGCCTTGTATGAATATATACATGTCAAAGATTACTTTTATTTCTGATGGTATGTCAGCAATCACAACAGTTAATTTTTGCTTCTTTAGAGAGAACTTTAAAGATATCTGAGAATTTTCCTGTAAAGGAACATGTTACTACTATGTTTGGGTTTCTGCAGAGAACCTGCTTATTGAAAAAGAATAGTTTCCCACTATACATGTAGTAGTCTCTCTAGTAGGTACAGTTCTGGTGGCCCTGAAAAAACAGTGATGATGGAAGTGAGATGGAAGGATTTAGTTTGTTATCCAGGAGTGGATTTTATAAATCTGATTGTGCCAAAGAATCGGGTTTGTAAACTTTCTTTGGCATTAATAATTATAAAAGTATCTTGGTAATTTTGATCTCAAGGGGGAAAAGAAATTAAACATTTTCAAAATAAATTTTAAAAATTCATCTGTTTAATTTAAATTGCAAATAAAAAACTTGCAATTAAGTGTTTCATATCTCAAACTAATAGAAGTTAAATATAAGACTAAAACATTCTTTCTTTCCCTCTTCTTAAATAAAGAACAAGAAAATTTCCTCTGAACCTATGTTCAATGTACCTATGAAAAGAACTTCAAGAGGCTGTAATTTAAAGAACCTTTATTAGGAATTAAGTTCCTCTATTTAGTGGTCAATTGAACAATAAAGTCAGAAAAAATATGATAATAACATTTCACAGAAGAATAACAGACTGTAGGGAAAAATGTCACATTGTTTGATGTGATAGGAGGAAACAAATGATTCATAGTGTATGGATTTTGCAACTGTAACCAAAAAACCCTCAGCATTTTTAGTGCAATTATCTTTATTGGTCTGATAGGGAAGTACATATATGTTTTGGGTATATGGTGCTACAAAATTGGCTTTTATACTTTTGCAAAGTGGATGAAGGCATGGTGTAACCTGAATGTGAAGGTTTCATGTAAAGATATCTATCTAGAATCTGTAGGCTTGCTTACAAAATGCTTTACTCTTAATGAAGTGTGAATGCTGTAGAATGTTATACCTTTCTTCTTTTGAAGTAATATCAGTCAAGATGATCTACCCTTATTCATATGAAGAAGAAAAATGATATAATAATTATAACATGTATAATAATTATAAAGGAAATGCAGTTAGTAGGAAGAATATGTCAGTCTCTTTTTCTGCTATTATTGATATAGATGAATTATTAACATTTGTCTGATAACTTTAATTACTCATTTCTACCCATCACAAAATTTTGGTCTAAAATCATCTGTTTCCTGAATAAAAGCAAGTATTTTTGGTTTATTTTAATGGTGCAAAGATCAGCCTTTCCTGAGAAAAGTTTGGATACTTTTTTCTAAGCTTTGAAGAAGAATATTTTAGCATCATGCACCAGATGCCCTCCAAATGTGTTCAATTGCTATCTCCATCGTAAATACTGAACATGGTAATTGACTGTGTTGATCTGCAATGAAAGAAATTGTCCATCAATCTAGAGGGTGCCTGAGCAGGGAAATTTGCGTATGAGGTAGAGGATCTTTATATTTCTAAATATTTTAAAAGTAGTTATGTTCACCAATTGTCATCCTGTGTGGAACTCATACATATCTGGACTGAAACTGTTTAAACCAGCCTCTCCCCAGTTTGATTGTTATAGAACTGGCAACAAGATTTTTCAGATTCTGTTATATGCTTTCCATTATCCTAGACATTATTTTTATAAAAGGAGTACATTTTTTGTCTCTTGCCTCATTAATTAAATACTGTAGTCTTAATTATTGATTCTGGATTAAAGTAAGCCACAGGACCCCAGTTGCAATTAAATGAACCGAATGCATTCCTTCTTCCCATGCATAGATGTGTTGAGTAAGTTACACAATACACTATTATCTGTTTAATTTGTTGATCCTATTTCTCTAAGAAAAATGAAGGTAAATAAGAGATAGATGCTTAACATTCTAAGCTGTCTGCTGAATCTAGAAATATAACCATACACTGTGTCAACCCAAGATATGTGCATTTATTTAGATTATAGACCTAAATAAAATGTTTCCTTAAAAAAGTAATTAAAATTAGTTGTAGCCTTTTTCTACTCTCTTTAGTACAGCTGTGCTGGAGGGGGAGGAAAGGCTTGCGGATTATGTTAGAGCACAGTGGGTGCATGTATTCTGGGCATTGCAGTGGAAATTTTCATTTTATTTCCTGATATGATAATCTGGTATGTGGTGTTGCAGTATTTTGTTACCAGACTTGTTCTAATGTGTATATATGTACTCCTTTCATAAGACATATATACCCAGGTATTAAATATATCACTATATAATATTATATATGTGTGTGGTATAAGGAATCTTTATTGAGAGTTAAGGAAAAGGACACAAGCCAGGGAATAGAGCATCTCTCATTGAAAGAAAGAAGGTGTGGGGAAAGGATGAATATGTCTCTGGAATTCAATAAAGCATTGATTATTATCCCCACCAGTCACCAATCTACTATTTTGTAAACGCCTGTAAAGCTTATTCACAGAAATAAATATTCAGCTAATGAGGAAGTAAAATCTGTTTATTGTTTTGAGGAAGGAGATACCAGACAGGAGTAGGGGGTTCTGTTTTGTTTCCTTTTCTTTTGTCAGCCCAGAGGTTACAGGGATCAACAGTTTCTGCTATATTACATCTTGCGATATCCTGCAGCATTTAAGTTCAGTGCGTTGAATAGCTGAATTAAAACAATAAAACAGGCTATAATTAACTACAATTTAATAGGCTGGCAAGGGAGGGATTTTCAGAAAGCATTTGAGTATGATGAAATGTTGTCATTGATTGTATTTATTAATAAATACAAAATGTGCTTCTGAAATCTTGGAATGTCCTATTATTCTTTGTATAAAAGTGATTCCATATAAGATGCCAAAGAGAAAAAAAAGCTGACGGGCTCCTTTCCTAGACATAAAAATGGAGCAAGGTACATTTGAACGGGATGCTGGTTAACCAAGCTTTTACCAGATTGTTCCTTAGAAATCTGAAGAAAAAGGAAAGCGAAGGAAGGGAGATGCTTTATTTCTAAGCTGGGTTTGTAATAAGCTCGAGAGTCCTACAAAATATCTATTAATATATTTTAAGAATACCACACTTTACTATTAAAGAGTAATAATATCTTTCACAAAGTCCAGTAATCAAATAATACTATAGATGTTCTTATAACATTCTTGTTCTTAATAAATTTGTTTCTTTTAGCCTTTGTAATAGAAAATAAAAGTGTGCACTTTAAACCTTCATCCTGTGCTTTGTATACTGATGTTACCCTTCAAGTAAAATGTTAACATTGCCCTCCGTCTCTTATTATTGAACATAACTCACACTGCCTAATGACCAACAATATAACTCAGACCGGGGCGTTTTATGGACTGCAAGCTATATCCAGCCTTTTGACTGTTCCTATTCAATCTGCAGCAGCCAGGGGTAGGGGTGTGGAGCAGTGGCAATAGACCTGATTTCATATGGCCCCTTGGGAAAATTAATTGCCCACCCCTGGAGTAACCAGTAGATGGCTCGATTTTGTTTGTTATAGTCCAGTTGTTTCACTTCTATTGGGTTCAGTCTATATTTTGCTAGCTCTTCCAAATCCTTTAGCCAACTTTTCTTTGACCAGATCACAACTACCAGGCATGATTGGCGCGACAGTTGATAAGGAAGTTTCTGAAATACCATGGTCAATACATCTGAATTGCACTACCTGCTATAGACTAGTTGCAACATCTTTTTTTAATCATTTCATCTTATATTTTGTCATAAATTGAAATTTCCAATATTTGTAGTGCTTTGGAAAAATTTGAGAGGGGCCAGCCAGGAGTGGGATTTGGGGGTTTGCATAATTTTTGCTAGAGTATTGCCCAAACCTGTGCGAACCCCCAGCAACCCACCCCTGATTACTAGGGTATAAAGATGGCTGGTACTTTTTTTATTTACCTTTAAAAAATGTAATATACACTTAGTCTTCCTTGCAACACCTGTGATATCACTACTCTTTGGTGGGGCATACATGTGGACAATGTTATTAATTACGTGAATATTAGTCCTTTCCATGGGCCTGATTACACTGCTTTGAAAGTCATTCATGCTCAGTACCAGTCCCTGAGAACAGAAGCTGAAAAATACATTATCTCTCAAGTTCATGAGAAAAAAATGGATAGATTGATCTTTGGTTTGATGTATTTCATTATTGCTTTTAATTAATGGAATGAGAGAGAGGGATCCTCTGATAGTTCCTAGTAAGCAGGGCAGTGCATGGAAAAGTAACTTTTCATACTCCTTCCCACCCTCATTTTTCTTTCTTAACTGCCCCCCCCATGACAACTGACAACATAAAATGTCCTTTTATATGTCTGAAAGAAGAGTGACAAGTATTCACAGTGTATTGCCATTAACCGTGACAAAATTGAGTGATATTATACTAGGATGGGAGGGAAGGACCCATGTTTCTTTCAACCATCATACGTATATGGATACAATCCATTTAGTCCATTGCTGAAGTGGAAGAAGTACAAGGCTTTTTTTCACAAGATTTTATTAAATTTCAACGAGATGATATACGAAAAAGATAAAGAAAAAAAATGAAAAACGGGGAAAATGCAAGATTAGGAATGCAGGAGGGGGAAAAGGGAGGGGGAAATCAATAAGAGTAATTTAGAATAGATGCAAATATAAAATACAATAAACCTTTTCCTCTGAAATTAACCACAACACCTACTACTTCTATAATCATGAACAGTTCTAATCATCAAACCACAAAGTTAAAATTTAATTTCTTTGTTTCTAGCAAAAAATAATAATCCAAAAGTGGTTTCCAAATGGAAATAGCTAGACAACTCCTTTGTTTGATCAAAGCAATCAATGTTGCCATCTCCACCAACTCCATTAACTTCTCTATCCAGATGGGCAAGGCTTTCAAAAATTCTTCCTCTTTTAAGAAGGGAAATTACAGGGTTACACTGATACAGATATGGGAAGTGATGCTTGTTGATTACTTGTCACATGCACTGCTGAAGGATACTTGTAACAATCATGCAACCACATTCCTGACATCCCACTCAGAATAGAGGGTATTGAAGTAGCGGATAAACAATCCAGTCTTAGTCAGTGGCCACGTTGCCAAGCCTTACTAAGAAGTCTCATGCTGCCTCATGTTCTTCCCTCATGACATAAGGCTTCTTAGCCTTCGGTTGCCCAGCGGCTGCAAAAAGCCATCATGAAAACGAACTATCCTTGGTCAGAGATCCAAGGGATGTTTTATCCATACAAAAGAATTTGTTGGTTTATTTTACAGGGTTTATATGTTACTCCAGTCATAATTGATTCTGAACAACACGCAGTTCTCTCTTTGTACTTCAGATCAAAATAAAATACAACTGAAAACCCAAACCATACAAATTACAATATAAGACTCGGAGTAATTGCAATCCGTTCTTTCCTCTCTTTTTTTTTGCTAGTAGAGGGATGCGGTGACCCAGTGACTAAGACGCTGAGCTTGTTGATCAGAAGGTCAGCAGTTCAGCAGTTCGAATCCCTAGTGCCGCCTAATGGAGTGAGATTCATTACTTGTCCCAGCTTCTGCCAACCTAGCAGTTCGAAAGCATGTAAAAAAATGCAAGTAGAAAAATAAGGACCACTTTTGCGGGAAAGTAACAGTGTTCCATGCACCTTTGGCATTTAGCCATGCCAGCCACATGACCACAAAGACATTTTTAGACCACGCTGGCTCCTGGGCTTAGAAACGGAGATGAGCACTGCCCCTACAGCTGGAAAACACTAGCACGTATGTGTGAGTAAACTTTTAACTTTACCTTTAGAGGTATTTAATCTTAATCTTCTAGGACTTGTATGAATAGCTAACCTAATGCCACCAGGGCATTCAAATGTGTTTGGGGAGACATTGTTCCAAAGGAGGGGGCTGGAATAAAGAAGACGGGCTTCCTTGGCCCCTATTTCTATGTGAAGAAAACCTGCCTATTTGTGAGAAGCTGGTCCTCTGTGTTTCGAAGCTTCAATCTGTGCATGGCTTTAAAGGTCTTTAAAGAGCAGCACACTTATGCAAATCAATAAGCAATTATGTCCCAAAAGTAGCAGTGTTATATGGGTGCAGTGAGAATGCTGCTCCATTTTGGTCTAAAAGTAGCTTCCAAATGCTTCTCAAGGACAGCCCTATATACAGCACACTGCAGTAGTCAGTATCACTATAGTAGTCCAACTAACTAAAGCATGAGTAACTATAAGCAAAACCCTTCCACAAATGGCACATAGATGGAACTGAGTAGAAATTCCATGAGAAAATGTTTATTTTTGTGCTTTTCAATTTCTAAATTAACTGGCATGCACCTATGTATTTCTAATCTGATCCAAATGCTTCAAAATAATAATAAACCATCGTATTTGGCAATGAGCCAATATAAATGTGTCCAAGACTCTAGCAACTGTACTTTCTTTTTTCTTTCAATTGTGTTTTAGATTTAAAAAATAATAGTTTTCATGCTGGGTAACACTCTCAGAATCTCTTGCTGTGTTTTCTGTATTTTTTTCCATTGAAAAATGTTACCACTAGCTTCCCTCTGTTATGTGACTTTGGTAAAAATTTTGCTTTTTACTAACCTTATCTTCTATCTGCTCAAAGATAAATATTAATATAGGTAGTTCTTGATTTACAAGAGTTCATTTAGTGACTGTTCAAGGCAGCCTGACTTTGGCAGACCATTCAAAGTCCTGCCAATTCTGATGCCAAATATAAGAGTTGGGTGGAAACTACAGAAAGGCATTCATTCTAAACATATTTGGAAGCACATAAATTATTATTTCACATCTTCTAAAAGGCAATTTTCTTTTCAAAATTACTTGACTGCTATAATAGCAATGGAATCTTTTTTAAATTAGGAACATTCTGTTTTCTTTCTGTCTTTCTGTGTTATTCCCATAGCTACCTAGTATAACATTGCTACTGTGTTTTACAAAAGAGTCTGTGAAAAATTAAAATTCCTTGAACTTGGGATAGCCTGTTTGTGATAAATATTTCATCACAGATGCTCTGCTGTAGAACAAGTCTAGTCTTCTTCAAAAGACAGCCTTAGTCTCTCAATATCTTTCATTAAGTATCTCTCTCCTCACCACCACCCTTCTTACTCTTTTTGTCCCTCTCTCTTGTCTCTGCAATATGTCAATTAAATAATCATATATTTAGCCATTATAGGAGCAACTGGGCAGTTCTTTTGTTTATTCTCCAGAGACAATATCTCCCTTCATTTCTGAAGCACAGCTATTTAGAAGTGGCACACCCACAAGTGCGAAAGGAATAAGAGAGGTAGGGCAGAGGTTTTACATACAAGGCCTCCAGGCCAAAGAAAGATTATGGGAAAGACTTAGAGGAGAAATGCCAAGGAGAAGCTGAGGCTTGTTTGCATTTATTCTGAGTAACTTGCGTGCAAACGCAGGATGAGATTGCAACCTAATTAAGATGTTTTGTCTATAATTGTAAATTGTATTTTCAACCACAAAGCATTGTCCATTTTAAAATTCAAAGGCAAAAGTAGTTAAAATTAGCAGATTTAAGTGATCAATGTTTATTATATACCAAGATACAACTTTTGGAATAGAGCCATAATTCTGACAGCAAGACTAAATTTAAATTAGAACTACAGTTACTTCTGTAATTAAAAGATATGTTTCCTAACAATCACTCTCCTGTTTGAAAGCATAATGCAAGACTTATTTAGTTATTATTCTTGTCTCTCATCACAATCTGTGAGTTCTCTCCCACCCAGTCCATAGTGGTAAGGGGTTTCATCCAGTCTCAAGGCTGACTTCAGTCTTAGTAATTTAACTTTTTATTAGTTTATCAAAGTATAAAGTACAAAGGAAAAAACATGGAAAAGTAAGAAGAGAGGGAGGGAAAAAGAAGGGATATAGTTTAACAGGAGGGAGGGAAAAGGCACTGTCTTTAACACATTAAAACTACAACATTTTGCTTTTACACAACAATATGTGCAAGCCATTTCATGGCTTCAGTCTTGTGATAGATTCCGGTAATAGATTGAAGCTCATCCAGTTCCTTCAACTTTAGTTAGGTCTTCACTATTATTTAACTGTTATTGTGGCTCATCACATAGCCGGATGTTTAAACTGGATCTAGCATTTTTATTCACCTATCATCATCTATCTGGAAAAATATAATGGCTGATACGATGGAAAAGGCTAGAAAAAATATCAATAGTAAAAATGAATTATCTTATCAAGTATTAGTTCAAATGGTCCCAATGAGAATGGAAGAAAATACATTTAATG